GACAAAGACAGTTGTTATCAATGCAAAATTATGAGGTTCTACCAAGAAATGTGGAGGCATTCTTCTTCAGCATATTGACAGACTTGTGCTGCATAGGGCTTCTCAGACTTGTACTAGATAGGCCCCACAGATGTGTACTGGAAAGGGCTCCACAGACTTGTACTAGATAGGCCCCAAAGATGTGTACTGGAAAGGGCTCCACAGATTTGTACTAGATAAGCCCCACAGATGTGTACTGGAAAGGGCTCCACAGATTTGTACTGGATAGTGTTCTACTGACATATACTGGAACAGCTCCACAGATTTGTAATGGACCAGGCTCCATATCTGTGGGCCTATAATTTGACTCTTGCTGGAATGTGTATGTGAAGACAGAATCTTTAAACAGCTGCTTTTGGTAAACTATTGCAATACTTATTTGCTATATATGCAAAGCTTGCATCTCCATAAAGTAGCAATTCTGACAGAGACATTGATTACCAGAATGATTCCTTTGGATATGGATCATTTATTGGCAGTATGAGGATTGCAGACCATTTCACGAATGGGACCTGGGTTTGTTGGTGGTATTAAATGGTGTCACCAACTCATCTGTGTTAGAATGAAATCATCACTGCATGAAATATTGTTTAATAATAGCATGTGTTCAGACATCAAATAATCTTTATTTTGATGTGTAAATTTCAAGGTCTTCATGAAATACAGCCATAAAAACCAACTCTGCACATAGATAATCACTAGATAATACTTGTCATTATTTATTCCATGGTGACATCAGAGTGCCCTGGTTGAACATTAGACTACAATTTATATCATATTGGACACTAAAGTAACATTGGACATTGCAATTTATGATATTGGACACTAAAGTAACATTGGACATTGCAATTTATGATATTGGACACTAAAGTAACATTGGACATTGCAATTCATATGATTTTTGGACACTAAATTAACATTGGACATTGCGACTCATATGATATTGGACATTAAATTAACATTGGACACTGCAACTCATATGATATTAGACACTAAATTAACATTGGACATCATGTTTTATATTATATTGGACACTAAATTACATTGGACATTGCAATTTATATAATATTGAACACCATCTTATGCTCAAAATAACCATCATCAGGAAACTCTTTATTGTCAACACTTGTTTTCATGTGCCAGCAAATCTGGATCCATGCAGTTTGTTAGGAATAATCAATAAAGCAAATAACATAGACCCTGATCTGCCATACATGTGATAGCAAATCAGAGCATATAATTTTTCACTTTGACTCCAGTTATACGCAAGTACATACAGTAAGCACAAGGAACAGTTACTCCCAAAACAGAAGACACTATCACAGACTTCAGTGATTACCATGTTCAGTGATTATCTCTACTTAATTCAATTCAACCAGAATCGAGAAAATATTTATGTTGCTTTTGCAGATACTCATGCTTGTTTTCCAGAAGAAATCCTGCTTCTCTGTATTAATTATTTTTCACCATTCTGAATGTACTTTATCATTTATCAGTTCTGTGAACATCCAGTCCATGTAGTCATATCATTGGATAGTTAATGTATGTACTAGTAGTTATAGAAATCTATGTTGCCTTAATTCTACTTAACACTCACTTCTAAGTCAAGTACCACTACACTACATAGAAGTTTATAGAATAATTTAAGTCAGTCACTGTGCTGAGTAGATCATTATTTTCTGTCTAATTGTGTTCACTGTGGTGAATGGATCATAATGCTTTTTTTAACTTCACAGTGACAAATTGATCACTGTTCCATCTCAAATGTGTTCACACAGTGATGAATTGATCATAATGTTCTATCTCAAATATGCCTCACAGTGGTGAATTGATCACTGTTCCATCTCAAATGTGTTCACACAGTGATGAATTGATCATAATGTTATATCTCAAATGTGCCTCACAGTAGTGAATTGATCACTGTTCCATCTCAAATGTGTTCATACAGTGATGAATTGATCATAATGTTCTATCTCAAATGTGCCACACAGTGGTGAATTGATCAGTGTTCTATCTCATGTTCACACAGTGGTGAATTGATCATATGTTCTGTTTCAAATGTGCTCACATCAGTGTTCTATCATAAATATGTTCAGTGTTGAAGTGATCACAGTGTTCCATCTAAAATGTGATTACACAATGGTGAATTGATCAAAATGCTCTATGTAAAATGTGTTCACACAGTTGGATGGATCATAATGTTCTGTCTAATAATACAAGTTAGTATACAATAAGGCCATTGTTTTCTAAAGTTTTATTTGTAGTTTAAAACAGTATTTTGCCACTATATTTTATTTCAAATTGAGAAACAAATGAGATTACTAATTTCCTTTTGCAGCTTATCATATTAAGACTAGAGACAGGCTTGACATCTTGCACAGCGTATGGCTCTTTATCCATATCACTAACCCAACCGCCAGTCTCTAACAGACTCTTGAATGTAGAATAGCCCTAATATGCTATCATTAGAGGCAACTAATTGGGGTAGGAATTATGGCGGTTAAGTGGTGAGTATGTTTGGACTCGATTGAAAGGGTGCGGGTTTGAATTCTACATTTAGGACAGCAAAGATGGCTAGTGTAACATGTCCATTGATATGTCACTTTACTGTGACATGTCCATTGATATGTCACTTTATTGTGACATGTCCATTGATGTCACTTTACTGTGACATGTCTGTTGATATGTCACTTTACTGTGACATGTCATTTGATATGTCACTTTACTGTGACATGTCCATTGATATGTCATTTTACTGTGACATGTCTGTTGATATGTCACTTTACTGTAACATGTACATTGATATGTTACCTTACTCCAATTTCTGTAGTATTAAATAACTTACTTTTGTAGCTGTTCTGAGAAAAAACCTCAAACCAATCTGTTTGACAATCACTCCATCAGTATATTTATTCTTGAAAAGGTTATGCTCTTGTTTATTGGTCAATAAGTAATATTAAGTATTTTATACTCGAGTTTATACAGCAATTAGTAATATAAAGTATTTTATAAGTTATATAATTTCTCTCAAATTACCATGAATTGTACAGTATTCACTCACATTTTATTTTACATTAATATTTGTATTGCTCAGTTCGTAATTACTGTCTTCTTTCATTCAAAGTACTAAATGCTATTTGTATATACTATTTTGTATTATGCTATTACATATTCTGTGCTATTATATAAATATAAATTTTTACCAATATATGTATTATGTTTAATTATGTTTAAAAGACTATTTTGTGAACAACTATATTTTTCTTTTGAATCAATGACAATTGCTTTTACATTGCAGTAGCATCTGAAAGAGTGTAAATTTGAGCAGTTTGCCTCTGTTTTGTTTCTGTTACATCATTCATACAGTAATTAAATAATCATTGAACTTGTTGTCTTGAAAACTTTATTCTGGGAAAATGGTTTTATCTTTGAAAGCCAGTGAATTTGTTGAAAAATTACTTGAAGTTTTCCTCAAATGTTATGAATTTATTCAAGAGAATACAAAAATATAACAACCTAATTAAATGTATAATTTTTTAAAGCAATATTGTTTTTATTTATGTATTATTCCAAAAAAAAAATGAATCAGTAAATAAAGTGGTACAAAATTGAGTGGATTGAATGTTACCAGATGGATTAGCATCTCTATGTTGTATTGGTGCACTAATAATGTTTTTCATCTGCTTTTATAATTAATTATGTAATGATTAAAATGTAATGTGTACAAAATTAAATTACTACAATTAAAAAAATATGAAAATATTTGGAAGTTGTAGACAAATATTTGAAAAAAATTCTTTAAAATTGACCTTCGGATAGTGTAAGGCTTTTCAGAGGGTTAAGAATCATGTTTATTTTAATCCATTCTTATTTATTAGATTCTTTATAATATCTTATGACTAGAGGATTGACTTATGAATAGAATTTACATATCTAAACTTAATCTGGCCCTAAATGTATAAAACATTTGAATTTGAACCCATAATCAGTTTCAAAATCTGCTCATGCGAAAACATTTCATAATGTCATATATATTCAGGTACCTCATGATAAGATTAAATATGAACAACTTGTTATGATGCATAAATATTTCATGGTGTTCCTGATACAGTTTCTAAATAATAAAGACTAAAAATGTAAATCAAGATAAAACTCAAAACCTGAGACATTCTTTGTAAATGAGCCTGGCCATTAACATCCATTTTATGTAATTGAGCCTGGATATTAACATCCATTCAGAATTAGTCTTATTGTACACTCAGCTTTAAGAATTTAAAGTTTGAATTTGAATGCATATTCACTATAAATCATGGCAGAAAATTTGCTTTTAACATTTTGAACAGTGTATTTTAAAATGATGTCAGCCGGAAGGATTAGTCAGTTGGTAACATAGCTTTTGCATTTTCCCTTCATACAAAACTTAGGCAGGTAATGCAAATACCATAGTCACTAGATCACAACATATATCACCCATATGCATGAATGCACATTGCATGCACATATATACATACACATGAAGTACAAATTGTCCCTTATTTGTTCACTGAAAGTTTATGCTTTGGTAAAAAAAAAATGGATGGTTTATTTACAGTTAACAAAACTCTGCTAAATAAAAATTAAAATTTTGTTTCTACCAGTCATAAACCACGAAAGCTTAAATGATGGCCTGTTTTCAATCATTCATCATCTGTCCATCTGTTAGCACAAGTTAGTTATTGCTACTATCAAACTTCCATGAAACTTTGTACACACATTCAACCCAAGATCTAGATGGCCCTTAACGAAAATTGTGCGAATCAGATATCAAATATGGCCTGAATGGATGGTCATATCAATATGGGGTTTTCACCAAATGACATTTTTTATGTCTAGTTTGTCCTAAATTTTAAAAAATTTTAAAAATTTTATTTAAAGATCATTGAATGGATACTGTTTATGTTCCAATCATGAAACATGAAACTGCTCCAGTGGCCTAGTGGTTAAAGCATCCATCTCAGATGTGGGAGGTCGTGGGTTTAATCCCCAGTCGAGTCATACAAAAGACTTACAAAAATGGTACTAACAGCTGCCTTGCTTGACACTCAGCATTAAGAGGTTAGTGTTAAAACTGGTGGGCCTGGTGTCAGGATAATGTGACTGGGTGTGACATCATGCTACATGTCTGTGGCATGATGCCCCAGTGCTTGACATCACTATAAACTGACACATTGCAGACATCGTAGCAATATTACTGAAAACTTGTTAAAAGGTATGTTAAAAATCATAAACACCACACCAATCATGAAACATGACAATTCAGTGTATATCTTTTAGTACTTCATTTTTACAACAAAAAGGTCATTATGTTTTACAAATAGATTTGTATTCTTAACCATATGGAACCTTTCATGCTATACACATACAAGCCTGAGGGCACAAAGTAGCTGAGTGCTCCAATGTGTTTGTTTTTACTGATTAGTCATACATCTCAATTCACCACATCTGCAGGAGTTCAGGTATTGGCTCAAAAAGTTTGGGTTTGTGAGAAAACTTGCCAATAGCTATATGTGGGTCAGTGGTCCTTTTACTTGCTGCACTGAATGGATGATCATGTGCAGAAAAATCCCATATAACCAAACAAAAAAAACATCCTAATCTACTCAGAAGGCCCTTTTTGACCAGAGCAGTTGAAAATATAAATAAGTATGTTTACACATTTGTAAATGGTCCTTGTTAAAACTATACACTGTATATTTTGTTAGGTTGCTCTCAACAGGTTAACTGTGTATTGTAAATGTAAAAGTATAGGAAATAGAGGAGTTGAATGAATACTGCATGCTAGTCATGTGAGCCCTCAGCTGTAGTGGCTAATCAAGATAATTACTCATGCATGAGCTGTACTTGTAATCTGGTCACTCCAAGGTTACTTGAGATGTTTGACTTTTACCTAGTAGAATCTGATTTCTATGGGTGGACAATTATAATAGTCTGTAAAGCAAACCTTTAAGAACAAGGATTGGCTTGGGTTGTTTTTTTAACATTAATCACTGGTTTTTATGAACTCATTGTAGTGTCTCTATATTGATATAGAAATTTTTTTAAAGTTTTTGTTTTCTGGGGTTTTTTTGCCATGTCATAATATGTATGTATATGATTCTATGGTATAGAAGCATGTCATTACAGTACTGATAATAGTGTGGAGAGTGACCTGTGTTAATTCAAAATGCAACATAAAAAAAACGTTTGTTTGTAATGGGGACAACATATCATTTTCGACATTACTTGAATCTGAATTTATTATCTGCATGATATGTAATGTATGCTAATGCTATTGGAGACTAGTGAAAGCTCCATAAAAGTGAGGTATGTAATCTTCGATTGCACTGTCGATTTAGGTAGAGTTATAATCCACTAGACAGATTGTCCTTTGGTCCAAACTTGTCACTTGGTTAATACAGTTACAGCAAGAAGAGAGTATCATTTCCACTCTTACGAAACTTTCCCTCATTAACCTTATATGGTTAGTAGTTATTTGATTGCGCATAATATTTCAAATCGTCCGTCTGTGTGGAAATCTCGTGTGTAATTATGCGAACAGAAGGGCTATAAGTCCTTATGTAACGTGTCTCCGTAACTGTACTGGACTTGAATGAAGTTGTATATCTGAACGTCTTCACGATATACAAACAGCCACAAACAATCATCAGGAATGCTGCAAAATAAATAGATTAATTGAGAAAAAAATCTACACATTCTTTTTAAATTATTTTCCCAAATGAATGTATAACAAGTATATACACACACACACACACATATATATATATATATATATATGAGGCACTTATGATAGGACTACCAACAAATTTTTGTATGCTCAGTTACAGTTACATCTCCAGTATTCCTAAACTCGTATGGTTAAATGAAAATAATTTAAAGTTAAAGCAATAGGACTTTAAACAGTAATGGATGGAAGAACTCCTGACATTTGCTTATTATTCCTGTACGACATGAGCACATTTTCAAAGAAAAATCACTAGTCCTAACCATTCCTGCTTGATTTACAGGGCAAAGGAAATATGAGGAGGTACACAGAAAAAACACTAGTCATAACCATTCCTGAGGAATTCCTGCTTGATTTACAGGGCAAAGGAAATGTGTATTAGATATGAGGAGGTACACAGAAAAATCACTAGTCATGACCATTCCTGAGGAATTCCTGATTGATTTACATGAAAAAGGAAATGTGTATTAGATATGAGGAGGTACACAAAAATCACTAGTCATGACCATTCCTGAGGAATTCCTGCTTGATTTACATATCAGATATGAGGAGGTACACAGATAAATCACTAGTCATAACCATTCCTGAGGAATTCCTGCTTGATTTACATGAAAAAGGAAATTTATATCAGATATGAGGAGGTACACAGAAAAATCACTAGTCATGACCATTCCTGAGGAATTCCTGCTTGATTTACATGAAAAAGGAAATTTATATCAGATATGAGGAGTTATACAGATAAATCACTAGTCATGACCATTCCTGAGGAATTCCTGCTTGATTTACATGAAAAAGGAAATTTATATCAGATATGAGGAGGTACACAGATAAATCACTAGTCATGACCATTCCTGAGGAATTCCTGCTTGATTTACATGAAAAAGGAAATTTATATCAGATATGAGGAGGTACACAGAAAAATCACTAGTCCCTGACAAGTCAAAGTATTGCATGCATAGTCTACATGACAAATGTAATGAAAATGTACATCACACATGAGAAAGGTGTATATTGATACAACTTAAAGATTTTTTAACAAATCTAAGCTAATGGTGACATTTCCAGTAAATTTTATGCACTATATTTGTATCTATATAGCATCAGAACAAATTTTTAAAAGATTTTACTCTGATGGAACTGTGATTTCCAAAGAATGAGTTTAAAGTAAAAGTACTAGCCATGAAGTTACAAAAAAAATGTTCAACCTGTACTAATAATGCCAAAATTGCAACTTATTCTTATACTCTTTCAATATTGTTAAAATTTGACAATTATATGTAAACAGTAACAATAAAAGAATGCCATCATTTTTGTGATTCTATCCTCACTCCTGACTGAGTTTTATAAATGATCAAACATTTTCAGTTAGAGCACAAGTTCAGATTAGCATGGGGGGGCCCTGAGTGGCCGAGTGATCTAAAGTGCTGTCCGTTACGGATCACTGCCATCTCACCTCTGTCTGGGTTCGAGTCTAGGATTCGGCAAATGTGGATATGTGAGAAAGCTTGCCAGTAGCTTCTCGTGGGTCGGTGGTTCTTTCTGATGATTTCCCGGTTTCTTCCTCCACCATTAATACTGGCCGCCATGAATAGCCTATCGTGTGCTGAAAAATGGCGTTAAAAAAGAGAGAAAGCAGATTAGAATGTTTATGACTACAGGTCCTGGTATGATTGTCAGAAAAATATTAGCACAGAACTCAAACATAGGCTCCAAACCTGAAAATTAGGTACATAACTTAGACTAACATCTACATCATTTTGAAATATTGTATACCATTAGGTGACTTAAAGATAAAACGTTCTGAAAAGTTTATGTCTGGATTTATTTTAAGAGTTATGCTGAATGTCAAAAGTTTGTAGCTTAGAATTGGGTTTAATGCTTTGAAAATTTCAAGAATGTGTAGTCTTGTACTGGAAACACACTCTAATTCTTATTCATGAGCTAAATAAGAAGGAATTGCTAAAAAAAAAAAAAAAAAAAAAGAAAATTGGAAAGGATATGCCAATTTCAGATAGTGACCTTTAAGCTGATTCATAAAAGTGATTAGTCGCTCCATGGAAAAGGACTTTGGGGTTTGCAGAATGAATAAGAATTTTTTCTCTGGTTACTAAACAGTTCTCATGCCTTGTAGGAAGAATGGCATGGCAAATCATGGGCATCTTGTATAGGAACCCCAATAAAGGTTGTGGGATATGGACTCTAAACCCAGAACTAAGGAAAGTAAACTCCTTATAGCTTTCTTGGGGATGGTTTTAGGTTTCACTGGTCACAATATTTAGCCCTTCCTCCTACTAGGAATGTAACAGACAGTTACAGATTCATTTCCATTATCAAGGATTGATAACTGTATTGATAAAATTTGAAATGCCAAGTATGTCACCAAATTTGACCTTCTGAAAAACTTTTGGTGAATTCCACTAACAGAAAGGGCAAAGAAAATTGTCACATTGGTGACTCCAGATAGACTCTATCAATATAAAGTAATGTTGTTCATGATGAAGAGTTCCCTAAGTACTTTTCAACACTTGATGAATATGATGCTAGATAATTGTGATGCTTGTATTGATGATATCATCTACAACAACACCTGGAAAGAACATCTTGCAATGATTTGAAATTCTTCGGCAGTCTCATTGATGCAAATATGGCAATCATTTTATCTAAAAGTGAGTTTTGCAGTGCTTTTGGGACATGGTCAAATTAAACCTATAAATGTTAAGTTCAAGACTTTCTGATTTCCCTGTGCCTGTCAGTAAAAAGCAACTGATTTGATATTTTGTTCCAATTTTTCTAATACTGCTGAACCCCCGACAAACTTGTTAAAAAAGAAAAACAAGTTTCTTTGGACTGAAAAATATTAGGTTACTTTTGATAGGTTAAAAGTCATGCTCAAAAGTGCGCTGATTCTTACAGCTCGAAATTTCATTCAATCTTTTAAATTATCTTGTTGATGCTTATGATGTTGGGATTGATTCAAGAAGATAGAAATGTTTTTGATCACCCAGTATGATAAAGCACTAAAGGAATTACTCAACAATCGAGAAGGAATGTTTGGCTTTAATATTCGCATACAGTTTACATTTTCTCAGTTCCTTCTCCAGTCGTTGTGTATAGTGATCATAACCCCCTTACTTTCATCAACCAGATGAAAAATAAAAATCAAAGATGGAGTTTGTTTTTGTTAAGATGGAGTTTGTTTTTGAAAGAATGTAATCTTGACATCAAAGGAAAAGACAATTTGATTGAAGATGAACTTTCCTGTGTATAGAAATAT